AAAGAAAAAAAAAAAAGAAGAAGAAGAAAAAAAAAAAAAAATAAAGAAAGAAGAAGAAGAAGAAGAAGAAGAAAAAAAGATGAATATAAAAAAAAAAGAAAAAAAGAAAAGTTGAAAAAGAATAAAGAAAAAAAGAATGGAAGAAGAAGAGAAATATAAAAAAAGAAAGGATTTAAGGAAGATAAAAAAAATATTTTAAAAAATAATAAACGAAGAAGAAGAAGAAGAAGAAGAAGTTGAAGAAGAAAAAAGAAAGAAATTAATATTGGTTAAAGGAAGAGGAAAATCAAAAAAAAATAAAAGGTGAATTAAGAAAAAAAAAGAAGAAGAAGAAATTAAAATGAAAGAAGGAAAGGAAGATTTTTGGGAATAAAAAAAAGAAAAAAATAAAAAAAGAAGAAGAAGAAGAAGAAGAATAAAAAGATTTTCCAAAGAAAAGAGGAAGAAGAAGAAGAAGAAGAAGAAGAAAAGAAAAAAAAGAGAAAAAGAAAGAAGGAAAAAAACAGGAAAAAGAAGAATTATGAAAAGAAAGAAAAAGAAGAAAGAAATTAATGGAAGAAGGAGGATAAATAAGGAAAAGAAAAGGTGAAATAATAAACGAAGAAGAAGAAGAAAAAGAAAACAAAGAAGAAAAAGAAGAAGAAGAAGAAGAAGAAAAGAAGAAATTGAGAAATTAAGAAAGATTCAGGAGGAGGAAAGAAAAAGGTGAAAGAAAAACAGAAGAAGAAGAAGAGAAATTAATGAAAGAAGGAGGAGGAAGAGGAATGGGTAAAGGTGAAATAATAAACACGAAGAAGAAGAAGAAGAAGAAGAAGAAGAAGAAGAAGAAGAAGAAGAAGAAGAAAAAAAGAAAAAAAAAAACGAAACAAAACAAAGAAATACCATTTATATTTATTTGAAAATTTATTTATACATAAAAAAATTTACACGGAGGCCAATGAAAATAACATCCATTTTGGGCTTGGCCCCTGTTCGGAATCTTTACGCCTGTTTTCGTTTGTATTAAAAGAAAATCACCAAATAATGAATAAAAAAACTTGACTCCATACGCCTGTCCGCCGCCTTCTCAATCCCGGCCGCCTTCCCACGTGGGTTGGGCACTTCTACTCCGAGACTGAGCGGCACACATCACACGAAACACTTATCTACTAAAAACATGGCCTCTCTTGTCAAGCTATCAGTCTTAAATGAGGCTTGAATCACGTTTGAAAAAAAAAAAAAAAGAACACGGTGACGAGTAATGTTGCGTCTGAGTACAAATGCTAATAAGACTCAATAAGAATTCTGCACTTAGCAGAAGCGTATCAAAAGTCTAGCATCTGGTGCTCGATAGGTGACTCTCGGTATCAATCCGGAAAAGGGAAATTGAACAATAGGATGCAAGGTTTTGTCTGCGATTAACCTAATCTTGATAATGGTAAAACATTCGACATTTATTATCTGGAGAGTGAGCGTTAGTATCGATTGTAATTTAAAACGTAAGAAAAAGAAATATTCTAAATGCCTTTAAGAATATATAAATAAATGACTCTCCACAATTTCCTATCTCGTGTGGTTCTCCATTTGCTAAGGTTCCCACACCGCTCGTTCCGCCATCCATTCACATAAGCTCGTCAGGTGGTGGCTGCCTTCCCCTATTTCTTTTGCCTATAATAACCCTTAACTATTAAACATTGTCCTTCTTTCCTCAGCGAATGTACCAATTGAATTTTTCTGATTAAAAGTGTTCTTTCTGTTGCCATTTTCATCCCTAATTATTACAAAAATTTCAAAAACTTCAATACCCCCTGTTCGGCTGTCTATTAAACAACAAGGAGGCTTGATAGGTGTCCCGCTATCATTTATTTAGATAGTTGAAGTTTCCGGGACACATAATGAGGAAGGAGGGCCTGGAGAATCTGATACTCACGGGTCGAATAAAGGGAAAGAGAGACAAGGGAAAACAACGCGTGACATACTTGGTGGACTCAAAATGGTGCAATGCAAGCAAGAAATTTTGTAAAAGCTAGAACTATTACGACTGAGTAGTGAGTTCGATCCTCACTGGGTAAACTTTCGGCCGTGTGTACATCTAAGCTACAAAAAAAGAAAATCACTATTGGCGGACTTAAGCAAGTGGATGACAGAATGTGGTATGGAGGAGCCTTAGAGGAAGGGAGAAATGAGAGCTGTAAGGGAAAGAGGGAGGTGGAGAGCCATGATTAACGTCCTGAAAGGACACGGCACATAGAAAGAAAAAAAGTTCTTTGTTTTTCCTCATTATCAAAAAGAAATTTTAAAATATGTCTTCCTGATTAAATGAGCATGTTTTATTTTTTTGTTTCTATTTTACTTAAGACTTCCGCGTTGCTTAGTCACTCCGTTCATGGAATTCTCAGTATCCTTCTGTAGAACTGGATTTCTGTTGCACCTCGTTTTCTTCTTCTCGGTGGGTAGGGGGGGATTTCCAAGCATTCACTGTCACACGAAGAGGGATATCACCTAGCAACGATTTTTTTTTCCCATTTCTCAGCACCTTGCTTAGCTTTTGAAATAACCCCCCACCCTAACTATGCTAGTTCAATGAGTGCACGGATTTCAGTGTCTCTTCTCTATTAAAAATGCTTCCAAGGTATTTTAATTTTTTTTTAGCTGCTTGATGCTGATATCTCAAAGTTTGTATCTCGTGCGTTTGCAATTTTTTTCTCACTTATAAAGATTTGCATTACAGTTATTTCATAGTTGATAGGAGTTCAAAGTTATTTCAATATGTTATTAAACTTGTTAAGCTCAAATATTTAACGATTCTGAGTGTTCTTCCTGTTGCCATTTTCTTTAAAAACTTCCTTGTTGCTTACTGTTGTGACCAAATAAATGATTAAGTAATAAGAAAAACCATATATAGCAGATATATCGTATATTAAACTGTAAGTACAACAGAAGAGTATTACATGACTAGTGAGAGTGTATCGAATAAACTAGCGCTCAATCTATTTCCTGTACACTGTTCACTGTTCCCGAAACCTACTCACCTACTAAATGTATAGTAGGCGGAAGAGTCTAGCATAGACTCTTAAGAGGTAGGATACTACAACACTTACTTGCTTTGTCTATGGAATTTTCAGTATTCTTCCGTATAATCAAATTTCTGTTGCTTTTAGTTTTGTTTTTTCTCATCCTGAGGAGAGATTGTCCAACATTCATTGCCATTACAGAAGATGAATTATTACATAGCAAACCAGCACTTTTTTTGTTTTGTTTCTAATAACATTTTTCTCAGCAACTTGTTTAGAATTCTGCTTTCACTAGTCCATTATATGGTCACATCTTGGTGTCACCTCCTCTAATAAAATGCTTCCTAGATATTTAAACTTTTCTACTTGCTTGATGTTTATATCTCTAATTTGTAACTTGTTTTTTCTCTTGCTGATGACCATACTTTGTCTTTTTACAGTTGGTTAGTTTTTTATTCTTGCTTTCTTCTACCAGGATGTTTTGTAAAGCTTTTTGGTATTGTTTGGTACCTATGGCTCTTGGAGTCTGAAATTAATAAGGAAGCTCTTATTAAGAAAAACATTTGGTTTGTCTTGTTGAATGAAAACGGTTTGATTGAGAATTTTCTGTAACAAACACATTCCCATTACATATTGTTGTAAGGAAGATAGTATATAAGTTATAAAACATTTTTTAGATCAGGTGATGTCTCTTTCCTCATATATCCAAGGAATTTCAGCTCTCTTTTCCTGATTCTGTTGCCATTTTTTTAAGACTTTTTGTTACTAACTCACTTTGTCTATGGAATTTTCAGTATTCTTCTGTAGAACTACATTTCTGTTGCTTTTTAGTTTTTTTTTTTTTTCTCATCCTTGGGGAGATTGTCCAACATTCATTGCGATTACAGAAGATGAATATTACATAAACCAGCACTCTTTTCTTTGTTTCTAATAACATTTTTCTGTTTCTCAGCAACTTGTTTAGCTTTTGAATTGCTGCTTTCACTAGATCTCCGTGTCACATTTGTTATTAAAATGCTTTCCAGATATTTTAACTTTTGCACTTGCTTCATGATTATATCTCCAATTTGTAACTCACATCTTGGGCTTTTTCTCTTGCTGATGACCATACTTTTATTACACATATTAATGTTTATAGCATATGTCTGAGGAGTATCAACAGCAACTCAATTTTACATAGTCTCAACCCTTTATACACCAGCACAATTTTTTTTTTATTTACATTTATGCAAGACAAAAGCATGGATTCCTGAATTTGGTAACACAGCAATTCTGACTTTAATCCCCGGGACATGTGATACAGACAAACTTAGTAGACACAGAGTGAACAATAACTGAGCAGTACTAAATATACGAACAAAGCATGATACCCCTAGAAAAGAATCTTTTTTCCCAGGTTTTCAGATAAGATATTTAGCCATCTTAACACTATTTGTTGTAAGAATCACTGAAAAACCCTTTAAGTTCTTCAGCTAGAAATTGAATAGGTTAAAACGATTTTGTGTCAGCCTCAGTCTTCCCAAATGGGCAATGGTGAGAGGAAAAAGATCATTCAGGCCTTCATACGCGGTGCCACATCCTTTTTTAAAATGCTTCCCAGATATTTAAACTTTTGTACCTGCTTGATATCTCCAACTCGTAACTCACATCTTGGGTTTTTTCTCTTGCTGTCGACCAGACTTTCTGTCTTCTTGCAATTGATAGTCTTTTTTTCGTGCTTTCTTTTGCCTCTATTTGCCGTGTCCCTTCAGTACGTGGACAATCATGGCTCTCCACAAGGTTGTCTGTTTCTTATGCCCCTCTCGTTCATCGAGAAAGTTATGAATTAATCCCCCACCAGCTATGGGTTTAATAATAGGACTTGTATTTGGTAACATCATTTTCAAAATTTTAATGTAACATTCATTCGCAAAAAAATAAGAATTATTCTTATAATGCCAGACATGTTTTGGCTTTAAATAACCAAAAAGGGTGATAATTTGTAAAAAAAATAAAACAAATCAATCAATGGTCGCTTTCTTATCCACATTCTTCTTTTTCTTCTCCTCCGCCTCCTCTTCTTTCTCTTCGTCGCATACTTGTCCCCTTCTTCTTCTTCTTGCCCCCTTCTTCTTCTTCTTCTTCTCCTCCTCCTCTTTCTCTCCGGCGCTTTCTTGTCTCCCTTCCCCTTCTTCTTCCCCTTCTTCTTCTTCTTCTTCTTCTTCTTCTCTTCGTCGCTTTCTTGTCCCCTTCACCCTTCTTCTTCTCTTTGGCGCTTTCTTGTCTCTCTATTCTTCTTCTTCTCCTCTTTCTCTTCATCGCTTTCTTGTCCCTTTCCCCCTTCTTCTTTGTCGCTTTCTTTCTGTTTCTTTTTCTTCTTCTTCTTCTTCTTCTTCTTCTTCTTCTTCTTTCTTCTCCCCTTCCCCTTCCCCTTCTTCTTCTTCTTCGTCGCTTTCTTTGGCTCCTCCCCTTCTTCTTCTCCTCTTTATCTTCGTCACTTTTTTGTCCCCTTTCCTTCTTCTTTTTTCTTCTTTGTTGCTTTCTTGTCTCCTTTCCCCTTCTTCTTCTTCTTCTCTTCGTCGCTTTCTTGTCTCTCTATTCTTCTTCTTCTCCTCTTTCTCTTCGTCGATTTCTTGTCCCCTCCCCCCTTCTTCTTCTTCTTCTTCTCTTCGTAGCTTTCTTGTCTCTCTATTCTTCTTCTTCTCCTCTTTCTCTTCGTCGATTTCTTGTCCCCTTTCCCCTTCTTCTTCTCTTTGTCGCTTTCTTGTCTCTCTATTCTTCTTCTTCTTCTCTTTCTCTTCGTCGATTTCTTGTCCCCTCCCCCCTTCTTCTTCTTCTTTTTTGTCGCTTTCTTGTCTCCCTTCTTCTTCTTTTTCTTCTTCTTCTTCTCTTCAGCGCTTTCTTGTCTCCTTCCCCCTTCTTCTTCTTCTTCTCTTCTTCTTCGTCACTTTCTTGTCTCCTCCCCCATTCTTCTTCTCCTCTTTCTCTTCGTCGCTTTTTTGTCCCCTTTCCCCTTCTTCTTCTTCTTCTTCTTCTTCTTCTTCTTCTTCTTCTTCTTCTTCTCTCGTTCTTACTCTGTCAATGTTTACTGTCTCATCTCACTAATAACAGAAATAACAGCTAACCAATTTTTTTTTTTTTTTATAATGCCATGCTTTTGGTCTCCAGAACACCAAGAACCACCAGAGATTTAGAAACGGAGTTGGCGAGGTTACCATGTTCTTGTTATAAAACGCCGCTAGTGGACCGTACCAAAAGTCCATTAATACTGACCCTGCTGCAGAATGCTCTGGCTTCGGCCCTGCCATCATCGGTCGTGCAATGACCAGTGATGTGTGCATGAGTAGAAACAGACCTAAAACAGCAGGTCCCCAAGGGAAGGCCATTTGTTCTTCGGGACGTATCGCTTTTACCAGGAAAATACGTGGCCTAGCATTTCAGGACGAGATTCACTCCAATCAAATATGCTAAGCCATTTTGAAATGTTTTCTTGTTCTTTGACATTTTCCCCGTTAATCAAATAGCAACTTTTTTTTTTTTTTGGTATTAATGTTTAGTGATCTCTATGGAATTTGTTCTGGGTAAAGTTAACGCTACGTTTGTTTGCTCCGTGCGTATTGATCTGGGGCTGAAGTAATTTGTTTCTTTCTTTTTCTTATTGATTTTCATGCTGATTACGGGTGCGTGTCGCGTAGGACTGAGGACGAACAAAAGGAGGTAGGGTCATTTGTCAAATAGTCGTTTACGCATGAAAATGCATAGTGCCGTGGTTAGCAAACTAGTCTAATCATCCCTTGAAAACGTGTTCATATCTCACTGTGGACCCAATGTTTGCGATACTCAGTAATAACTTTATACAAGGACTATTGCTATGAAACTTAGGTCAGACGTGGTTTCTGGATGAAAAAAAAAAACAAACCCAATGCCGCTATATTAGGGTACCCCAAAAATACCTCACGTTATCACCAGAGATTGCAGTTTTTTCTAAAAAAAAAAAAAATCATATATTATGGCGTTCGGAAAGTAATTACGTTTTACCAGAAAGGATAAGGAAGGTAAATTTATTTGAATGGTGATTTACGATTCATTGCTTAAATGTGGTATAAGGACACAAGTATGGAGCACTCAGTGGGGATCAATATCATTCGTAATAGGAGTAGATAAATACATCTCTGCTTAAAATCTGAAAGTTTATTTAAAATTTATTTAATAATTTTGATCTATTTATTTTCCTCAATAGGAGTAAATAGGTTCGCCTGTAGCCCGGTTCACACACCTCTCCGTCCTTTTGAACAAAGGTAGAGGTTGACTCCTCCTTTCATGTTTAGGATTGGGTATCCGGTTCCTTCTGAAGTCTACTTCAAATCTTTCCTCACAACCCTGCCTAAAATCTGTAAGTTTATTTACTATTTATTTTTTAATCTTTATCTATTCGTTTTCCTCAATAGGAGTAAATAGGTTCGCCTATATCCCAATTCACACTCCTCCTGAGCCTTTTGAACAAAGGTAGAGGTTTATGCCTTTTTTTCCTGTTTAGGATTGGGTTTCAGGTTCCTTCTGAAGTCTTCCTATTGTCTTTCATTCCCAGTAGCTAGTTGCGTCTTTGTGACACTGTGTTAATTCATTTAAAAATATGATCTAGCGAGACATGCCTGTTAACCATTACAGCACGTCGAAGCGCCAAATTTATTTAAATATTAGGGCGTTCGGAACGTACTAACGTTTTAGCAGAAGGCATCTAAATGAATGTAAGTTAAATTTATCTAAATATGATTTATCAAAAATGTGATCATGTTCATTTTCAACGACTGCAGCTCACTTCTACTTATGAAATGTTCTAGGAAACGAAAGAAATAAAAAAAATAAATTTAGCTGTTAAATCTACTGAACATGGCGGATGTGGAAGTACTCTTATATTCGTGTTTAAGCGTACTTCATGTATAGTGCGATCCGTGAAATTTTGTGTAAAACCTGATTTGTGTATAATACGACCCAGCTTCTGAGCAATACTAGTAGGCATACTTTTTGCGAAGCCCCTTGGTGTTGGTGCTCTCATCTTGTCTCCTTTCAGTCGGCTATTTCTAATTGTTTTGGTTCTGCAAGACTTCAAACACAGAGAATTTTAACTTCATTATTACTCATGACGACATGTACATTATCTAACTAAACAACGGGACCGCCTCACTTACTGGGGAGCCGTTTTGAACACGAAAATAAACGCTTAACGGATAAGAACCAACTCACTGAAACCTTTTTCCTATCTCTCTTTCCCACGCTAGCCCAGCCAATAAAAATCGGCTCATCTGACCCCGATGTCAACCTCCGGAAGTCGGGGTCGAGATACACTTCCCCTAAAAATGCTAAACAATTATTTAAAATCAGTCAGTTATGTGCCATGCGTGATACACGCTAAGGCGATCATGTATCTTTCGATACATGACAGACGAGGCAGATTATTTTTTTCCCAGCAGATATCGCTAGACATAAGCAGTCATAAGAGAACATTCAGTTCAGAATTCCCTGTAGGTTACCCAGATCGATATAAACCTGAAGAACGCCGGAGGGCACAATGGCCGAAACGTTGTGATAACAACCACAAAGTTGAGGACAATAGTCCGAATATAAATAGTGTAAATAAATAAAGGGCTCAGTTCAGAATTTTCTGTGGGTTACCCAGATCGATATACACCTGGGGAAGGCCGAAAGGCACAATAGTCGAAACGTTGTGATTACAACAAGATAACAACAAAGGTATATAAATAAAGGGTCCAGTTCAGAATTCCATGCAAGTTACTCGGATCTTTTTCCTAAGTGGCAATTTGGCATAATTAATAGTATATGACTTTGTTTTTATTTTTATTTCCTGACTATGTCCGGCGGTATATTGTTGAAACGCCCCGAAAATATATGTATTTGTTGTTGTTTACTGTTTTTTTTTTTGTTTTTTTTTGCGGGGGGGATATAAATATTTAATATATTTATGAAATTGTATTAATGTTGGGTTGTTTGCTTTTATGGTTAAGCTTTCAAATGTGTAATCGTATTTTACATCTTATGTAGTCTAATAATATTTTTTATCAGTCTTCTTCTGTGTGCCGTATCCCTTCAGGATGTTGGTGATCATGTCTCTCGACAACTTCCTATACTTTGTAGCTGTTACTATTATTTATCCTTTCACCATCACTACCAGTTTTTGACGGATTTCTTGTGTCTAGCTGTTGTATCATTTGGCGTTATTCGATTTTAATTATCGAATAGACAGCAGATTAACCGGAACTATAATGTAGAGGTTGTAAAACCAACGCATACGTCGTTTTAATTATTATTACACAAAGATTCTCCAAGTGGAAAAGTGAATTCATAGACAAAATGGATTTTTTTTTGTATTGTTTGTAATTAACATTCTTCTTAGTTTTTTTTTTATTAGGTTTTTAATTAGTAATAATTAATTAAAAACATACGACACCATAAATTGACACGTGAAGACGTGATACCTGAAGAAACCGATAACACACAAACCGACGTTTAAGGAAGCGACTCACGACCAAAGAAAACGCAATTAATATCGAAACAACCCGATCAACATAAAAATAAGTCTCTTCGATTACAGCTTATGAAAGCCAAAAGCTATGAAAAAGATATTGGACAATTTATGTTCAAATTCTCTCCAGAAACCAGGAAAATGGTCCGAACTGTAGAAAATTCAAATAAAAGAATCTTAAACAAACAAATTTTGCAGTATTTTTTAAATATATTTTTAGTCTGACATTATTCAAATAAAGTTTAAGGTAATGTCTATCTATCTATCTATCTATCTATCTATCTATCTATCTATCTATCTATCTATATCTAAATATAATATATATATATATATATATATATATATATATATATATATAGAGAGAGAGAGAGAGAGAGAGAGAGAGAGAGAGGGGGGAGAGGTAAAGGACGAAGAAGAAACTTTTTAGCATAGAATCTACGGTTACGTCTAGCCAGCTCAACTATAAATTGATGAGATCTCAATGCCAGTCTAGTACTGTGCTTAAATTTTAAAAAAGTCTAAGTTCAATAGCGAAGAGCTTGTACGAACAATTACCATGGAAGTATTTATAAAAAAATAAGACACAAAGAGGCAACCTTATATATATATATATATATATATATATATATATATATATATATATATATATATATATATAATCATTCTGAATGTAATGGTTCCATTTTTTTTACGATGATGTACGACTTCAGTGGCGGATGTTGGTTCATGGCAGTTGAAGTACACTACTAACTCGATTATCCGGACAGTCTGGGATTAGGGTTTGAAAAATATGTTCAGATAATTCAGCATTTCGGATAACTGAATGCCAAAATTGTCGAAGGCGAATGACGGAAAAAGTTATTTTTGAAAGTAGTTTGACATTTGTACCAATCAAATACCATTTTCAATCGTTTTGTTCAAGGTTTTGTCCAGTTTATTTTTTTATCAATAAAAATGCATCAATTTTTTGTCTATTTACGGAGGGCCTCGCGGTTTTCTGTTGCTTATTCCCGAAGCTGGATTAAAGTAGATCTATTTGTAAGGGTGGCTTTTAGCTGAAAGCGTCAGCATCTTAAACATTTGTCAAACATAGTCATTGATTGCCTGTCAAAAGCATCTGAGTGTTGGCTAAGCCATAAGCTCTGGCGTGACGAAGTTGTAATCATTTAAATGTTTGTACTTTTCTATGAAAACAACGAAGAAACTAACAACAATTAATTAGTCTATTTTATCAGCGTTTTTATCAGAGGTTGAGTATGGTTTTCTAAGTCATTAAAACTCTTGTCAGAGATGAAATATTAGAATGGGCTTAGCTTAGAAAAATGTTCGGATGGTTTCAATATTTTATCTTGATATTTTCTTTTTCATCGTTGTGTCGTGTCTCTTGACTCATCCTGTTCTTTGTAGCTCTTAATAATTGTTGTCTTTTTGTTATTTCTCTCTGTCCCAACATCCATTTACTCAAGCTCGCTGGGGTACGTAACGCGTTGTTAAGTCTTCCGAGACCTCTTTCCTAATTATGTGTTCTAGAAAAATTCAACTGTCTTTTTTTCATGGCACTTGG